AATAAAGTGTGTATTTTCTCGAATTTATCTTTTTGCCCTCTTTTATTTACAGGCCCACTCGTACGTTGGTTTCGGCACACCACAACCAACTTTGCTCACAGATACTATCCATTACGTATTTAAATTCCGAGCACAAGTAGAAAGGCCATTAGGCCTGAATTTGTGGGAGGAGTAAGTCCCCTACTTAAACTCCCAGCCCCTACTCACCGCTGCCGCTCAGCTGATTGTCCCCACCCACCTACACCCTGTTTTAACTACATTATCCTTGGTGGGCCCTCTTTTATTTACAGGCCCACTCGTACGTTGGTTTCGGCACACCACAACCAACTTTGCTCACAGATACTATCCATTACGTATTTAAATTCCGAGCACAAATATATATAAATATATATATATATATATATATATATATTTCTTTTGTGTGATAATTTAGTTTTCTGGGATTACCATTAAAGGAACACTATAGTGCTAGGAATGCAAACATGTACATCTAACACTACAATGCTCTTTTAATTAGTTAGATTACTGGCTCTCACTTCTGTGTGGAACGGAAGCGGGTGGTAGAACACACGGAACCCTAACTCATTGTCAGCTTTACTTCTCATCTCCATGGACTTCAGCTCTTTCGATACAGAGCTGGCATAGGAGCAACAGGTTCAACAAGTAGTAGATGTACTGGGGACCTATCCCCTGACAAGCAACCTTTATACTTCCAATCTGTAAGTGTTTTTAATCCCTCATTTGAATTAAATTGTTGTTATACAGTAAGCACTATGGATAGTTGTTTCTGATTTAGACATACAGTTGTTTTTTTATAAGCCTTATTTGAAAAAGAATATTGAACATTCTATTCATTCTAAGCACTTGGAATATTGTACTCCCAGAGTACTATAATAAACTGCCTGATTATTGCTGCATTGTATTTTATAGCAGCACTCAAACCAGATTGCGATATTTGTATCCAGCATTTGTTTCTTTATTATTACATTTAGAACTATATAGATTTCTATATATTGGGATTGGCCAATCTAATAACATGTGACCTCAAAAGGGGAGGATGCAAAGGACCCACAGGACATTTAAAAAATGGAAGATTTTTGAGGCTACACTACATCTGACTGAGGAAGTTCATGGATGAGTGAAAACCTTCTTACCCTCAGTTCGCAGCCTCGTTTCGTGTTGTAGGGAACTGCTATATCACTACAAGGGAATGCTATGATCCTCATACTCCCTTGGATAATCACTAGCTCTTGAAAGAGCTGTTCCTGTTACGCTATCTGAAGGAAGAGAGGTTCACTCACTGGAACCTGGAGCCTTGTCGTAGGTCCAGGGTGGGTTGGAGACGGCGAGGCCCCAACCAAGCTGCGGCGGTTCGTGGGGTCTGCGGTGCTTATGGTGTCTGTCGTGGTGCTGATGGTCCTTGGTGAGCACTAGGAGCATAGATTGATGGAGAGTCCGTCACACTTACCATCAAGAGATTTATCTGTATTTGTACAGTATTACACATTGGTCGCTTCTATCCTTTTGTGTATTTCTCTTGGAGGAAACATCATAGAGTGAGTGGTGTGTTGCTGCCCTAAAAGCAAAGAGGCCCATTTTAGCGAGTGGCTCTAGTTATTTATCTACTACTGATCATTATTCTCAAGACCATCTACACTATATATTCTCAATTTTGTTCCTTTTCTTTTCACATGTACCTTCAAGTATGTTATCATATTTAATTTATGGGGTAAGTTAACCCCTGCACATGTTTTATGTATTTATTATTTTAGCGCTCCACTAATTGGTATATATTTTTAAACCATATATTATGTTTGTGTTTAACCCCTTAAGGACACAACTTCTAGAATAAAAGGGAATCATGACGGAATATTTCCGTCATGTGTCCTTAAGGGGTTAAGATTGATTGTGGAGATAGGGGTATTCCACTTTACGTGTTGAGCGGCTCATTGTATAGGCACAATATTGTAACACTAACTACCTCCAAGTAGAGGTAGATTCTGTCTTTTTAAATAAAAATTTAATTTGTCAATCCCGAATTTCGACCTTACACAGGTCCCCCCGTTCCCCCGTGGTGTGGAACACAAATAACTGAGAAAGGCGGAGGACTTAGTGCCCCCCCGCTCTCCCACCCATGACCAGTGAGTGGGAGCTATTAATATAAATGGGGGGAACTAATGTTTTTATTAATTTAGGGTCCTCACCTGCCACTCATGGGTGGGGACGAGAGGGGCATTAGGTCCCCCCTTTAATTAATTAGGGTCCCCACCTGCCGCTCATTGGTGGGGACCCTAATTAATTAAAGGGGCGACCTAATGTCCCCTCTCATCCCCACCCATGGCGGCGGGTGGGGACCTAAATAAAAAATGGGGGAGGACCTAATGACCCCCCTGGTCTCCACCCATGAGTGGCAGGTGGGGACCCTAAATAAATAATGGGGGGGATCTAATGTCTCCTCCAGGTCACCACCCATGAGCTGTGGGTGCAAACCCTAATTAATTAAATGGGGGACCTAATGTTCCCCCTGATCTCCACCCATGAGGGGTGGGTGGGGACCCAAAATAAATAATGGGGGGGACCTAATGTCCCCCCTGGTCCCCATCCATGAGCGGCAGGTGGGGACCCTAAATATTGGGGGGACCTAATGTCTCCTCCAGGTCACCACCCATGAGCTGTGGGTGCGAACCCTAATTAATTAAATGGGCGACCTAATGTTCCCCTTGATCTCCACCCATGAGGGGGTGGGGACCCTTAATAAATAATGGGGGAACTTAATTATCCCCCCTGGTTCCCATCCATGAGCAGCAGGTGGGGACCCTAATTAATTAAAGGGGGAACCTAATGTCCCCCCTAAACACCCACCCATGAGCGTTGCTCTGACAGGTAAATGAAGAGACTGATGGGTAAGTCTCTACATTTACCTGTCACAGCACTCTGATTGGTTGGCTTGAAATCCAACCAATCAGAGTGCTCTGTGTCATGTTACACAGCCTGGAAAAGTTCTTTGGAAAGTTCATAACACTGTGATTGGTTGCTTTCAATTTGAATTTGCTGCACATGGGTGGGGACCAGAGGGGACATTAGGACCCTGTGTTTATATTAATAGCTCCCACCTACAGGTCATGGGTGGGAGGTGCGGGGGGCACTATGTCCCCACCATTTTAGTTATTTGTGTTCACCAAATAACTAAAATGGGGGACCTGTGCCAATAACTGCCCAGTATCTATTACTTTTAAATTTGTTACGGAGACACGCCCCTACTCGCGGCATGCCACGAGTAGGGGCATGCGGGAAGATTTAATCTCCCTTTTATTAATATGGTGACCCCCATAGGTTTTAATGCGGGGAGGAGGTAGGAATAGTTATTTATTACAAGTAGGGAGCTGGTAGTGCTGCCGGCTCCCTCTTTGTTTTCTTTTGGGAGTGCATGCGCACTGTTATTTCTCCATGCCGTGAGGGTTAATTCCCCAGCAGCAAGGAGTCTTAAATAAACAAAACAAAATGAAAAGGCATTTGCCCTTTCGTTTCGTTTATATTTTGCTTGTAGGGCTTTCATTTACGTTTTAGTAAACGAATACGAAAAAACCCTAATTTTCGGACGAAATCGGAGTCCTACGAAAACAAATGCACATGTTTAATTATTTTATCAAAATCAGAAGATGTTTTTGATAGCTAGTTAATTATTAATGTAAAAGTGAAACTTTATTAAATTGCTGCTTTAGTGTCAAGAATGTTTTTTCCTACTAGCAACAATTGTAAACCACCTGGTTTTCAATTATCAGTGTAATAAAGCTGAATTCCATAGGCAAAACTAATATTTCAATATACATTACTATGCAACAATGCATTTATTATATAATAGCTCATGTCTAACCTAAAATGGATACATTCGTGATAAGATTGAAATGTACTTTGAGAAGCATGAAACTATTTTACTTATGTCTCTATTGATAAAAGTATAAATTCTCGCTGTCTTGAAAGATGTTGCAAACAATCTGAAACACAAGCTGCAAAACAACCGGTAGACAATATTTAATTCTGCACTTGATATTAGCATATCAACCAAAGAAATTGCTACATTTACGGAGTAGCATACTGCTTGTAATAACAGGGAAACATATGATATACCGGTAATTAAATAAGACTGGTGAAATGCCGTAGATATAATATGTAATTAGTTCTACAGTGTTCACTGTCAGGTTCATATGAAAATCTGTATTTCGTCTGCAGGAATGTGATTAGATTATGTCCTAAAATAGACAATTTTCTACACAGACAAAGCCAATAGTGTATAGTCCTAGTGTATTAATTTTAGGGGCATTTACTTATTGTTACAAATGGAAGATTTCATTCATTTTTTTTTTTTTTTTTAAACAAGCCAGACCTTTCCTCTATGCCATGCTAACAACTAATTAATGCTTAAATGAGGTTTATAGTTTCACTTTATAACAATAGTATGTAAACTCACCTGTCAAACCTGTTAATTGAGTCCTGTGCTCATGTACATTTTAAACTCCATAACCTCAGGCAGGAGAATTACTCAGAAATATTGAGTTTTCTCTCTTGTGTGAGTTACTGTATATACTCTTTGTGATTCTGGAAAGCATATGATAAAGAAATTACAGAATACGACCTGAAGTATTCTCATAGTTCCTTATATTCACATTACAATTATTTTAATTGAAATTCATGTTAGTTTTGTGTGCGTTTTGTGTCTAGAAACTACCCTTATTGCAGGAAATAAAGATCCAAAGTTTATTAAATATCAACAAGTTTATTTTTTCGATTTACAAAATGTTTACTTTTTTTGTTTTAATATGAAAATATATGAAAGTGAAAAGAACATTGATCCATGATCCATGTTACAGAAAACAGACAAACATAAACATCATTCACTTCATAAAAATATAAAAACAATTTATAATGCAAAGGCTATATAAGGCACTTTCTGCTTCATTTTATCCGTAACAAACAATGTCTTCTGTTCCGAATCCTTACTCTTACTTTGGCACTGCAATGGAAAACACAAAAATATGTAAGGGACAAAATAGGTCGTATCGATTACAGCTTTTGTTCATTTTGTTAATTTCACACTGTAGTGTAAAGGATCATATTACTATCATCACAAAGTAATCTTTTAAAGAACTAAATACAATTTTATATTAGGAATATATATAATATATAGGAAGCTTGTCCTAATATGAGTGGATCGCGATGGACAGGAAAGCCGTACAATCACTGTGGCCAATACATAAAATTTAATGACTTGGTAAATGGGTGTAAGTCAGTTATGTGAGGGACATTGCAATACTCACCAAATTTGTATGAAGCTTTGAATCCTTTATATTGGATGGAGAAATCAGTAAGAAATTGTAGAAACATTGAATTTCCACTTGAAGTAATAGAACGGGGATATCGAACACCACAAAATTCTCCGATCAGTGGAGAGTCAGCATCTGGTCCATTATATATTGACAGAGAGTCACGGCTGCACATCGAATAGAACATAGGCTCAAGCTCAAAGTTGTTTATAGTTAAAGAGATCTATAAGAATCAAGAACAAATAATATGTTTTAGTACCCTGCATGTCACAAAACCCAACGATAGATGCATTATAATGCCAGCTAATTAAGTTAATTCCTCAAATTGTACTTTTCCATCTGCCTTTTGAATCCTGACAATCAAACTTTATCAAACAAGAGCAAATGTATGAGATTTCAAAAAGCCAAATTAATAATTTCACTATACAGAACATTTGTTATATATGATGATAGTAAATTACAGAATTGTAGCCATATTGGCAGAGTTTGAGTGTGAGACCACATGTTGAATTTCAGTTTACAACATTTGTTGCAGCAGCAGAGATTGTTCTGGAGAGTCCACAGTATTTTCCTATAGAGCAATTGCTTATTCCTTCCATGAAAAACATCATACCTTGTACTGAGGAGGAGCGGAAATTATCCATGTACAGTTCAAATTTGGAGGGTAGCCATTCGGGTATCCAGGAGAAGTGAAGTTCTTTGCAGGAGCATAAAACTCACCTCCACATTGTACTGTAAGGGAAGGATTGATTTTAGTAAAGTAGAGTATCATTTCTATATGTTTTAAATATTTTTACTGATTTTAGAAAAGAAGAAAATGGCTAATGTCAATTTAAATTAAATATACAAAGTTAAAAGTAACCTTTAAAATAAATTTTCTTTTAGTAGGAGTAGGTGTAATTATTACAAATGTAGCATTATTTCAAAAGAAAACTATTCAAAAGGACAGCTGGCATATTAATAATGCTAAAGGGAATGAATTACATATGATTTATTTTTTATCTATAGTGTGCACGCAATAATTTCACCTAAAAAGTTCGCTCTTTAACAAGAATAATATCTAGGATAAAACTTGCATGATATATTTAGATATAGCAATAGAAGTGGTAGAAGACACAGTACCTCCTACTGCTAGCTTTGCATATTTTTGCACTTTTTTAAAGGGCATTGCGCCCATCTTTTATAAGACTTCACTCTGGTTTTGCTCTTTTTCTATCCATTTCCCACTGAGATTTACCTTTTGCAACGGTCACAGTTCTACACAGAATGAGACCTTCTCTAATTTAGTTCTACTTATATTGTCAGTTCATTCACAATAAGCTGGATGTAGAGAAAGTGCTGTTTTATCAGCCCTCAAGAAAATCTTCATGTAGAGTTAAATATGACATTTTCTAGTCTATATATTTTTCAAGATATTTAGAACCAAATATAACATAGAAAATGAAACGTATAATTAACAGATTTCCTATATACAACACAATTTTAGTTATATACTTAGAATTATACCGCAATAAAACTTAGTTCACTGTGACTTGTAGCTAAGGAAAATGCTTTTCACCTTTAGTGTAATGTGTCTGATGGATAAGGTCTTGTAAGATGTGCTATAAAATCAAAAATACAATAAGATCACGAAACAAAGGAATGACAGAATTACCTGACTTATAGGTGATATTGAAGCCTCTTCCACTTCCATTCTGGTTAGAGACAAACTCAATGAGCACCTGGCTAGATAACGATGTCATTGGAAGGATCAGTGGCATACCACATGTTTTGTCTAATAGCACAGGAGACGTCTTACTGGGTCCATCATAAATTCTAATATAGTCTGCAGAGCAGCCAATAGAGGACTCAACATCAAGAAAATCTAATTTCAGAACAACCTGCAAATAATAATAAAGAAAAATGAATAATAAAATTTTTATAATATTGTGAGGTAAAATTAGTTTACTGATCCTAGAATGTAATCAAAAATAAAAGCAAACAAGGCAGTGTGGCTGTATACCATTAAGGGGGAACCAACAACATATTACAATGGAATGAAATGTACTTTAATGCAAATCATAGTCCCTGAATAAGCGGTCACCCCCCTTGAACTTTACTGCAAGGTATCTGGTAATGCAACAGTTAATTACCTGTCCAGATGGAACTCTGATCAGCCAAACACAGTTGCTGTTATTGGGGTAATTATTTGGGTAGTTGGCTGAGGTCACTGTCCCGTTGACATTACTAAGCAGCATTGAGCAGACATCTGCAAGTAGCATAGAAAGAGTGAGATCACGGAAAATTAATGGAAATTTGTTCATTTAGGTATTTTATATCATTTTATTGTATCTGTTCCTCTCCTGTTGAATCTCCCATTTCCAAGAACTATCTCACACATGCAAACAATACCTTAATATCTGTCTGTCGTCATCCATATTTGTCTCACTTTCTATGTGCAGGTAGCACAGTGATCCGTTCTAGCTATAACCAATGTTAGCAGATAAAGGAATCACATAATTGACAACTCACCACAATTGTAAAGGGCATTGATTTTAGAAACATCCAGGGTACTAAGTCCATCTCTTTGTCCGATGGGTATAGAAGGGTCAGGCTTAGGGATGATTGTGTCTTTTCCTGATGTGTTACTGAATGCATAGCTACAAAGAAGGAAGACAACCAACTGTCAATAAGCAGGACCTTTTTGTGAAATGTAATGAAAGAACACTCTAAGAACACTGTAATTGTTATGGAGCCAGTAATACGCTTCCACCTGTTTTACCTGTGTTGCCTGCTCTCTGCCGCTCAGCACTGCAGGACTTAGCACAGGAAAACTTACAGAAGTGTCTAGCAGGAGCTTCCAGCTCTCAATATCAATAGTTGAGAGACAACTGGTGTATCCCAAGAAAGATATCAAACTGTTAGCAAATTATTTAACTACTTAAACTAGGGAAGGGGCTCCAGGGGACTCCTGGCATTATAACCATTACAGTGTAATATAGTGGTTATGATGCTTTGAGTTTTTGTTTAATTACATTCAGTATTGAAAATCTATGTAGAACAGATAAGAAATCACTGGTACATTCTACACATGGACATCCAGGACATTTGGTATTGTGTTTAACAATGTAGTTCAGAGAGACAGTATGGTACTTACGTGGGATAATGCATCACAGAGTAGTAGTCATATTCCATATTCAGGTTATTCGTGTCCGTCTTTTTAAAGTTACCAAGATTTTCTAAAAGAAAAAACAGACTTAAATCAATAACTGCTCAATGTTTATAATAGGATGTTTAAGAATGTACCTAGATGATGTGTGGATACAAAGATCTGTATAATTCGTTCCTCACTTCTCCTCAGTGTTAACATGCAATGGAGTTAAGCTGAACTTAATTGCAGGATAAATCTTGAAATAATGGTAAGTTCCTCACTTTTTATTTATTACACTACTTCAGTTAAATTAAATAGTCTTAATTTCATTAAACAAGTGTAAAAGAAATACTTTATTGGCTCTTTGTTTTTTGACTTTTTATGATTTTAGAATTAATAAGTGAGTTACGATATTTTACTCTTACAGAGATTATGTATTTATGACATGGATTAGCACTGCACTGGTTACCTGGTGATATATACTCGGTCATAATGGTAACATAGTCATCACGGTCACTCCGGGAATGCTCATGGTAAAATCCCAGACTATGTTCTAGCTCATGCTGAATGGTCCCTCTGGACATGCAAGTGCTGGAATCCAGATATATATCCTGGGCGATGCCTGTTCTTCCAACAACGGATGCACAACTGATGGTATAAAATAAGGAATCATTATTTATTAAAAGAAATCTAATTATGAAATATTTTTTGAAAATTAGCAGATTTATGCTAGGCATAACTGGAGGTTCGTTCATATATATAGTGTATCAATTAGTTTATATTAAACAACAGAGCATAGGACACACCGAGAACAATAAAGTAATATCCGTGATGTGGAACGTAGTTTTAATTTTAATTTGAGAACAATTTATTGATTGCCTATGTATTAATATGAAAAGGCCCTTCATATGAGCTGGAAAGGTCTGTCTGTCACCTAAGTGAAAATGCTTTAAAACACACAACCTTTGTAAATTACCTTTGGTCTTTCAAATTAGACACTCCCGGTGTATCCCTACATATAAAGAAAGGTTTCAGTACTTACCCTCCTGTTTCCACAATATTCAGGTAGGACACCTCGGTTGTATGATTAACAAATCGCACACAGGTTACAGATTCGATCTCTTGCATGGCATTCTTAAACAGATCCACCTGATCAGTAGCTACACGAAAAAAGGAGATAAGATTCTTCATTTAATCAAAACATCCCTAAATTTATTTAAATATTATAATAACTGAAAAAAACAAGAAAACTCACTGTATTTAGGGGAAAGGCTGTAAGGCACAATGACTGTCCCATTTGAAGATTTTGGCCAGAAACATCCTGCATCTTTCATGGCACTGCGACCCGCTCTGTTTATGATGATATCGCCATCATGTACCGGAATATTAATGTCTGCAAATAGAAGAGAAAAGGATAAAAGACCCCCATTCAGTTACAGTAACTTTACAGCAAAACCTTCAAACCAGGTGTTTTTTTTTCTAGATTAGCTCAGTTTTATTTAATTAATTACTTATTTAATTGACTGTTTAGTATAAATAGGTAAATAAAGTTTCAAGCAATGCTGTGCACATCAAACTCATAAATTATTTTAGGAAGAGGTCTTAGTAAAATAAATCTCAATTGCAACATACCCTAAGAGCACATGGTGGGATCAGCATTGTCAAAATAAATCCATAAGAAACAACCACTTATCCACATGCATTAACAACTTACCACCACGTAAAGACAAGAGTCTGGCATTACTTTAATTATCTTACGTACCGTAATATTTAGATAGACAGACACGCAGACAGTTAAACAGAGAGAAAGAAAGACAGACAGAACATACCTGCACATTTTGTAGAACTTAAAAAATAGAGAAAGATAGATAAATAGATAGATAAATAGATAGAAGAGATTACTCTGACAGTGAGCATCAATATATCATGTGACTGATAGAAAAATACATGTAGATATTTACTTTTGTTTCCATTAATAATCCGGGTGAATACATCCAGAGTTTCTGTTTTATTTTCATCTGTGTCTGTGGGTAAAAATAGTGTGACAAGGTAAACAAAGATACATTTATTCTAACAGATAATTATATCAATCGTTACATTGGAATTTGGTGGTTTTTCTTGAATCTAAGATGTTTCAGTTTGTTCCAAATATCAATAAGACATAGCACCAGGATGGCTTCCAACCTAATCTGTTTGCTTAGTAAATCTTTCCAGTCAGTAATTCTAAGTATTTTGTGCCTCATACTGAAATATGAAAGGTAGATAATCACTTACATTGTTCTTCCAGTTCAGGTGTGGAATCCTAAAAAAAAAAATAGTATTGGATTATTAAAAAGTTTAATGTGCCATTTTCATTACCTGGATTTAAGGATTGAAGAGCAGTAACAAAGTCAGCATTTAAGATGTAGAATGTTACCTGAAATGGTTTTGGTATTGGAATACTTTGTGCAGGCCCCACCACAAAGACCAGTAAAACAATGATGAATGTCAGATCCATGCTTCTTGGTGAAGTGTTGTTATCAGAATGATGCTAACTTGCTACTCTCTCGCTCTATGTGAGTACAGCCTTAGGTGTCCCTTATATTCAACAAGTGAGGGGACATTAACCAATCAGCAGACAGAATGGAAGATCTAAGGCATAATGCATGAGAGACCCTGGGGCCTTGTCCTGTCTTTCACAGGTAGAAACAATAAATTGCTGATGTGAGTATCGCAGGGAGTGTCTTTGGAGCCAATATTGCGTGAGATTAAGTCAGTTTTCACAGTAATACCTCATTATACAGCTACAATTAGAGTAAGACATGTAGAATGGTCACTTAATTATTATTCTCACCATGTGTTTTAAAGTGATAATTGTTTTATTTAATATGTTATACTGCTCTCACAAGCTTTAAGTAGAATTTATATGTATTTGTATTTTATTTTGCCTTATCCTTGATTGTGATGGATAAATAAATTGGCTTCTACTCTGTATTATATTAAAACTGTACTTATTAGGTATAACCAATAAACCCCAGAATCATGTACATGATTTTAAAAATTGCAAAAAAAAAATTTTTTATTGTGAATTTAAGAATTTTGTTGACAGTTGATATTTTTTGGGGTCGCAGATCACAAAGACGGTATTACCATTATCCCTCCAGCTCTGCTGAGTGCACCTGCAGGTGTATGGGCCGAGGGGGATATCAAAAGGCCTCGCAACAGTCCCCAAAATGTGTAGCACGAGTACATTATTAGACACCCTCATACTACACTAGGACCATGCAGAGAGCCTTAAAACAGCGCTCAATGGACTGCCCTGTGTAATTGGCCTGGGACACTTTCTGGCATATCAATGTTTGGGAGTATAGATCTATAGATCTACAAGCTCGGTTCTGCCCTGCTCTCAGAGCAGGTCTGTACCCCCACACTGGCATCCCCCCAAACCAAAAGGGATGCGGACTGGGGTCTCCCCACACACACACAGTCTCCCCAATCACACAACCCCCATGCTCACCTTGCCTCACTCAGCCCCATAGATATACCACACTGCCAGCCCCCAGAGTAAGCCTGTAAAATCCATCCCCCCACACAGATATATACCCCCAAACATTTTTCCTGTCAAAGTCACTTTGTCACTTAGTAAGGTTTACTAATCTGAGTTGCCATATTGGACAGTATTGTAAATGTACAGCTTAAGTGTAATACATTTCCTGGAATAAAGCCTTCCAAGTAGCAATAACATTAGATACTCCAGACCAGCCCTATGTTCATCAAAGGAAAAATTGAAAATCTGCCATTGCTCATTTACCACCAGTGACAGCAGTTTGTGGTGGCATTTTAGTAGTTGCTGCGGGTAAATCCCTGTTGCCACGAAATTGGCAGGTATTGAACAGCGACGAATTGCTAAACGTAGTAGGTACTTTAGTGATAGGTACTTTAGCAAGTAACAGCTGGCAGGTAAAAAGTACCAATGACTGTAGATGTCTGGAGCTAATGAACTTAATTTCCACACAGAATTTTCTTAATTCAGGGCTCGACAAATCCCAGGTGCCAGGTCGCCATGGCAATTAGAAATTTCGCCCTGGCACCTGGGATTTGTCAGCCCGTTAGTTAAAGGGAACAATGAAGCAGCCGGCCAGCTGAGGCAGCAGACGAAGAGGCAGTAATATTTAAGAAGCTCCTCTCTGCTCCCTCGCGCTGTTTAATGATGCCGGGAGCCGGAATATGACGTTACTCTGGCATCACTACAGAGAGGGTGCAAAGGTAGGGAGGCTGGATTGACCTAAATGAAAACAAACATGTCTATGTCTATTTGTGAGTGTGTATATGTGTGTCTGTCAGTGTGTGTATGTGTGTCAGTCAGTGTGTGTGTATGCATGTCTCTGTGTGTGTCTGTAAGTGTGTGTTTGTGTGTGTGTCAGAGTGTGTGTGTGTGTGTGTATGTGTCTGTCTGCTTAGGTATTTGCCCCCGATCACATGTGAAAGGTGATTTTATTCACCTTTTATCTCACGCTGTGCCAGTTTCGCCACAGCTGGTCCCGCCTCCATGGCTGGGATCATCAATCTTTATGATCTCAGCTAAGCCAATGTTTTCCCATAGGAAAGCATTGGGAGGATATTGCGCATGTTATGTATGGGTAACATTCTGCACCTACATGCAGAGCACTGACACAGGACTCTGTAGTGGCTGTCTGAGTGACGGTCACTATAGGTGTTACTAGACAGCAATGTAAACACTGTCTTTTCTCTGAAAAGGCAGTGTTTACATTGAAAAGGCTACAGGGACAGGCTATAGGTACAGGCTATAGGTACCAGAACAACTTCATTAATTTGTAGGGGTTCTGATGACTATAATGTCCCATTCAAAAATTTATTTTTGTCATTGAAAAAGTAAACTTTGTTCGTTTAAACAAACTGGCTCCTATTTTTATTTTTTGGCTCCTAGATTCCAAACAAATTTGTCAAGCCAAGGCTTAATCTACATATTAATTACCATTTTTGTTTTTTCTATGAGAGTTTTCAACTTGCTCAAAGAGTTATCAATGCCAACATAACTTATTAGAGACGGACTTATAAACTGAATAAAAGTTAACTGAAATAAATGTTATTTTGGCATAATTAGTTCACAAAAGAAGATTTTCTCCCCTCTGGTTTTTGTAATTTGTGAAAATGCATTAAACTTGGCATAACATATCTCTCATCTGCCCATGAAACTGGCACTCGATGCCTCTTCTGCGAATGTGAAATGCTGGGTACTATGTTGGGAAGTAATATATAACGTAAGGAGAAGAGAGCTCTCACTGAAGGTGGAAAATTAATCAACTCGCTATTAACTCAAATTCATTTCTGTAGCAAAACTCACAGGTTTTGGAAAAAGTACTTTTCCAGTGCAAAATGGAAGTTAGATTTAGTTCAACACAATCTCCTATCAATCAATGAAAAAGCACCAATGTAAAAGGTTAAAAAAGAGTATTGGCTCTGCAGGAGGATTGTGAGGTTAAATTATCAATTATTTTTTCTAGTAAACTTAGTTGGCAATCTAAATGTAATTAACACATAACAATAAAGGTGAAACCAAAGTGTGTCAGTTACTTATCTGCCTATTGAAGGAAACTTGTTCATCGAGTGACTTGTAAGAGTAGGTTGACTTGAGGACATGTGCATCGGGCAGGGCCCGGTGCAGGTAAAGCTCTAATATATCGAGTCAGACTTTCAGAGCCTACAGGCCTACTGTCTTTCAGAGCTAATTGATAGTAATTATTACCTTAGTTTATAACCCAATGTGCATCTTCTTTTCTGCCCAATTGTTGTAGTAAATTAATGTAGGCTATCTACTGAATCACCCGGGTTTTTAATTACCTCAGTAGCCTCTGGTATTTTATTCATTCTTTAATGAAGCTTTAAACACATATGATTTTACATATGAGTAACAAAGTCATAGGTCAGTTCTTTATTATTAGCTAAATAAGTTAAATATGGTTTCATGGTCAATAGACCTGGATCTCATTTTTTTCTTTTTTCTTTTCATATAAATATAAACTATTTTATTTATTTATATTTGCCACAGCAAACAATACAATTCAGAGACACACATTTATATTAAACATGTATATATATATATATATCTTAGTAATATATTGAGGTGTTAATAAAGTATACACACGGATTATGTTCTATACATATGTCCATATGTCTAGTTTTATTATTCCTCCCTTTTTTAAATTTATTTTTTAGGGACAGTGAAAATGTAACTGGAACTTATTCATACCTTCCATTCATACCAAATTATGCATGGGATATTTTGCATTTCTTTAGAAAACATTTAGTAAGTTTCAATTTAATTAAAACAAATGTTAATAAGTTGTTTTTAGGTTCAGCATTTGGGCCGTGTTTACTACAACTGCAATATTTTGGACAAAATTTGATTTATTTTTTTTCTGCCAGAGACAAGTAAAGAAAGTATTTTTTTAAATTTTTCTTTTACTCCAATGGCATTATTATAATAAAGGCTTTTTCCATTGAGGCCTGATATTCCATTATGATGTATAAATCTTTAAAAGTCTGTTCTTTCTTCTACTTTTCATTTTTTTTTGGCTATTTGTAGTTTAAAAGCCATCATTAGATGGACTACAATATTTCTAATATCTTCAGGTAAGCTCATTATATCAACATGAACTAGGGCTAACACCTTGTCTGATTATACATTGGCTCTGTGAAGAATAGCAATAAACATGAACAGAATATTCCATGCTTTTTTTTATGTCCAGACAGTCCCACCATATATGAGAAAATTATACCCTTTCTTCCTTACATCTCTAGCAAATATCATTGGTATCTTCAACCCCTGAAATACTGAACCAAATGTACACGTTGTGATCAAAACAAAACGTAAACAAAAACTTGAATTTACGCTATATGTCTGTTAAGGCGTAATTCGCCTCTTTCATATTATGTGCACCCACACTTATAATATATCATTTTATTCAGGGGAAACAGGGCTTTTATTTAACATCAAATATTTAGGTATGAAACATAATTTAATATGAATAACATATTAAAAAAATGGAAGAAAATAACATTTTTAAGTTCTATATGACATTCTAACTATGAATGTCATAATACTGTTTGCTTTTACTGCAATAAAATACACATATTTTTATTCAGCTATGTCTCACGTGTATAACAGTACCCCCTATGTACAGGTTTTATGGTGTTTTGGGAAGTTACAGGATCAAATATAGCATGTCACATTCTTCAGTTTTTTCACATAGAAATTCGCCAGATTGGTTACATTGCCTTTGAGACCGTATGGTAGACCAGGAATGAGAATTACCCCCATGATGGCATACCATTTGCAATAGTAGACAACCCAAGGTATTGCAAATGGGGTATGTCCAGTCGTTTATAGTAGCCACTTGGTCACAAACACAAGCCAAAGTTAATATTTGTTTGTGTGTGAAAAATGCAAAAAACTCATTTGAATGCCAATTTTGGCCAGTGTGGTTACTAAAAAAG